CTGTTTGGAGCATAGCGTGGCTGCTACCACGTGCTCTCATGCAGTATCGTTGTAGTTGTACAGTTGTTGTAGTAATATCATATGCTCATCTATATCGTATATCGTAGTATCATGTTGTATGTAGCATCCTCGTGTAGTAGTGATGTGTGCTCCCGATATATCGCAATGTTTCCCATTGCTGCATAACACAGCTGCCGTATAAGCCTGATGTTGTGCTTTGTGCTACTTTAGTTTGTATATTTTGTTGTTTCATTTAGATTATTTGTTTTGTTTTTTATTTCCCATGATGTAGGCATGGGCACACTTTGATGCAGGCAACTGCGAGGGGGCTGCAACCGGGGTCAAGGTCAGACTGGACAACGGAGTCACAGGATTCATTCCGATTCGGAATCTCAGCGATAAACGAGTGGAAAAGCCCGAGGAGAGAGTAGCTGTGAGTGTCAGTTGTTGCGCGTGAGACTTGCTGTCATTTACACACAGCATGCCCCCACATGTTACAAAAGCAATACATTCCTGAAGAAAAACGCATGCAATACGAAATTGCACAATGCGAACATTAAGACAACAATTTATTTTCTAATTAACTTGAATGAACTAAATTACTATAATTAAAGGTGCAGTCCTAGTGAAATTTTCCAGCCAAAGGGAGCACAGTTGTGAATTATAATAAAACAGTATGATTAATTAATGATCTTAAACAAAGTTCGGTTTGGCATAGGTGAGATCATGCGATTTTTGGAGGGGAGAGGAGAGATGGCTAGCTTTCCTTATAGAGCATAATTATTATCTTATTCTGAACCGCATGTTGAGTTGTTGTGTTGATATCGAGTGTGAATTGTAGGTTTTGAGTGTATTTAATTTTTGAAATTGGGTTGAGTTTTTGAGAATGTTACATCATATGTCAACCTGCCATTACAGCGTGGCATGACCATCCACGCCCGTATCACGAAGATTGACATCGAACGATTTCACGTCGAGGTCACGTCAAAGTCGTCCGACCTTCTCGACTCTGAAGCTCAGTACAAACCGCCGAGGGACCTCTATTATGATGCCGGTACGAACACTGTGTCTGGGTAAAGGCATCTGTCATGTTACGTGACAGTATGACGTTATATAAGGGCGGTTTCAGATTATCAAGTTAGCCAAGAAAAACAGAAATGTGTTTTTTTCGTGACCCTCTTCCCCTCAAAAATGTACAGATTGAGATGTTAATTTCTCACGTTTGTTTAAAAGCTGTGCATCTGCATTCATTTGTGTATTTCTAAAAGCATATAATGGCAGTTGACCCCCTTCCTCTCCTTGTCATTAGCATTGTGTGTTTTGCTAGTAACACAGTAACAGTAAATGAAATGCAATTTAAATTGTCTTGTGAAAATTTTATTTCACAAACTAATACTGAAAGAGCTAGAATAATTCAATCGTTTATTGTTTCTTAATTATAACCACACCTATGTAATATATAATGTATTCAGATATATTATTTATTCAGGTAATGGATTTTGGGTTTCATGAATGAAGTTAACCTTTTTTTTTCGCGCGATATAGACGCTGAGGAGAACGAGATAAAGCGGGACGAGGAGGTGCGGAAGAGACAGCGGATGCAGACGTACGTGAAGCGAGTCATAGTTCATCCATCATTCCACAACATCGGCTACAAGGACGCGGAGAAGCTCATGAATGACATGGACCAGGGTGATGTCATCATCCGACCCAGTAGCAAGGTGAACTGTCAGCAGGGCTGTACTGCACCCTAAACCCTATTGCTAGTTCCCACATCCCCATCCTGAGTCGGCCATGTTTTTTTTCTGGGAACGAATGGTTTCCATATCATGATAGTATTGCCAGAGTGCTTTCTTTAGTTAGTCCAATACATCCTGTGCGTACACACTGCACGGTTTACTGCCTGTTAAATGTTGACATGTCATATACACTAAGATATTTTGCTTATTATCAAGAGCGTATAAAGAAGGAGAGCGTACAACGGTAAAATGCTGAAACCATGTTGCATTTGTTAATAAACTTTCCCCGTTTTATTTTGACGATTCTTTGCAGTATTATTGATCAGCTGTCCTACCTTGCTAATATAAAACAAACCGCTTGTCCCTACGATGCCCCTACGCTTAGATAATGAGCGGTGAAAATCTGGTATTTTTGCCGAAAACCGACTCGAGATCCCTGTTTGCTGCGACCCTCTCTCGCTTTGCTGCCATTACGTCAGTACTACAGAGTTTACTATATCCAGCGTGAGGTGGGCACAGGTGGGGGTCATCAGTATGTCAATCAATAACAGACGTCATTCATTCCATTTGTCAATCATTGACGGAAAGACGCGAGGTTTCCCAAAGTTATCTCAAAGCGAGAGACAGTTGAAGTCAGCAGGTATCTCTGGTCGGTTTTCGCCGAAAATACCAGATTTTCACCGCTCATTATCTGAGCGTAGGGGCATCGTAGGGACATGCGGTTTGTTTTATATTAACAAGGTAGGACAGCTGATCAATAATACTGCAAAGAATCGTCAAAATAAAACGGGGAAAGTTTATTAACAAATGCAACATGGTTTCAGCATTTCACCGTTGTACGCTCTCCTTCTTTATACGCTCTTGTTATTATGTATTAATTCCTGATGTAATAATTTATTGATGCAAAATCTTTTCCTCGCGTTATCCATTTGCTTGAGATCTTCAGAGCACTTCAGCATTCGGCAGCAGTTTGTTTCGGTACTTCAGGGCTCAGACCACTTGACTGTCATGTGGAAGGTTGATGATAACATCTACCAGCACATTGATGTTCGAGAAGAGGGAAAGGAGAACGCCTTCAGTCTAGGCCAGAGCCTTCTCATTAACAATGAGGTATGTTTGCAAAGTCATACCCGCCCTCACTACTCCCACCTCGTCGTGATGTATGCTCACAATCTCCATTACGTATAGTTAGTGCACGCATAGTTACACTCGTATAACGATATGGCAGAGTAATTCAGAAGTGCACAAATTCTCGACTGTATGTTTCTCTGGAACCCTTTGTCGTAGCAGAGTTTCTCTGCCTAATTTTTTTCTCTAACGTAATAGCCGTGCTTGATTTTCCTGTCGTTAGGAGTTTGAAGACTTGGACGAGATTATCGCGCGTCACATCCAGCCGATGGCAGCGTTCGCCAGAGACGTTCTCTTGTTCAAGTATTACGAGAAGGCAGATGGAGGCAAGAGGGAGATCCTCGAGAACCTTCTGCGCGACGAGAAGGGGAAAGCCACGACCCGCATCCCCTACCTCATCAGCCTCTCCACGGATTTCCCTGGTAGGTGTGGTTGCGAGAGGAAGGCGGTGTCCTGTAGGCCAGTGTGGTGGTGTGGATAGTGTGAGAGTTAATCTGAAATCTTCACGACATCTTGAAAAAGGCACTTGCATCTGGTCATCAAGCCTAAAATCTGTCAAATTTGATTGACTGTTTTGCAGTTGTGAATTTATACGTTTCTATACAATACTGGAATTTTTCAAGTTTGAGAAATAATTTTCATAAACCATCAAATCTGACAAATTTGTAGGGATTTGAATAAATTTACTACAATATCTACTTATGTGTAGAAAGTTGTTGTATGCGTGATAACTGCAATCGAGTCTAGATGCCACTTTTGAGTTGCGATCATCTTTTAGATAGTATGTGCATTGTTACTCATTCTTGCTTTCTTTTTAAAGCCGCAGCATTTACTTATTATATAGTTCAACCTATTATTCGTATATGGGTTTTACTTTTATTTGGCAAATCTATATTGAAATATACTGTACTATACATAACCTGCATAGTGATGCTATCCAACTGCAGTGCCCCCTTGTATTGTAAACTGTTATTCAATCACAGTTGTGGCTACTACTAAGCACCTATTAATGTAAAATCACGTTTTTACCTCCGCGCAACGGAGTTGCAGGGAGGTAATCTAATCGCTCTCGTGTGTGTGTTCGTGTGTGTGTGTAGCGTTGGCGCGATCGATTCAGCACCAGCTCGCCTTAGGGCATCCAGTCAGCAGCAGCTCGCCTTAGGGCATCCAGTCAGCAGCAGCTCGCCTTAGGGCGTCCAGTCAGCAGCAGCCAGCAGCGAGCCAGCTGTTATACACATGTTTGCTCGCGGAGGTATGCACTCTCTTTGAGTGCCCTCTGTCTAGTTATAGAATGCTCTCCCCCCACACGGGTGCGTGGAAGCACCGTATCACACGTGTATGTTATTCACACTCAGGCAAGTTCATGCTGTCGTACCTGCCACGTGTGAAGACGCGGCACGAATACGCCACCATCACCCCAGATGGCTTCCGTTACCGTGGCAAAGTCTTTCAGACTCTAAACAGTCTGCTGAAATGGTTCAAGGAACATTTCCGGGAGCCGATACCTGGCGGTAGGTGTTATCGCATCGTAATGCGACTCCACTGCTAGCCTGCTGTATTATATTACTATTATAATATATATTATTATTATATAGGCAAACACATGCGAAGCCACATTAGGCGCTATACATACCTGTGTAGCTAGGAAGAGATGAACAGTCTGGCATACAGATAGATGGATGTATAGATTGATAGACACACTTACTCATGCGTGCTTACACAGAGAGACATGCATGCATAGACACAGGCATGAATATGTACATTGACTACATGTAGATGGATTTCCTATCAAATGAATTCATATCTATAAGTTGCGAACATTTCTCCACATCACCACCCCGCCACGCATTCACGCACGCACGCGTGCAGGCACACATACGTTGCTTACTGATGAGGGAGAATGACTGCGGGTTCTTTGCTGCAGTGGCGACACCTATGATCGGAGGACGTACTCCTGGACTAGACCATTCCACCATCCAGCGAGCGGTCAGCTCCCTACCCCCACAGATGTACAACACCCTGGCGGCCGTTGCCGGGGCAACGCCTCTCGTGGGAGGCTTCAGCGTTCCGGTAAGCAGCAGAGCAAGGCAGTTCGGCTCACTTCATTTAGTTCTGTAAATAGCTGTTTGGCACGTCTAGAAATAAACCTGTAGTGGTACATAGGATGGGGTGGTCACTGTGCGGCCAGTGCGGTGTTTGACATTCTGTGCTAGTAATGCAATTCTGCATCTCGACTGCAAGTACTTGGTAACGACGTTTCATAGATTTCGATTTAAACCACTCCATTTTTAGCCACTCCATAACAGCACTTACACTTACAGCTAGATGTTTACCTTGGAAACGATGTTTCAGCTTTTACTTTGAAGTTTAAATATTCTCAAGTGGACACCATGTTAATGGCAGATGTGCAAACGTTTTTGGCAAACTTTAATGGCGATGAAGCAAGTGTTGTAAAGCTTAACTAATAATTATTACAATACTTAAACTGTGTGTTTGTTAGCCACAAGGCCCATGATGCATTGCATTTCTAATTATTCATTAATTAATTAATTATTCATTAATTATTGGCTCATTTATGCTGTTGAAACTGAGATGGGCTGTAAGCCTTATGATTGAGAAATTTTTCAGCTTGTGATAGTGAACAGATATATAATCATAACGTGTAAATGAATATTATGTAGATTTTATCACGAATTTTGCTCGTGAAATGTGACATTGTTTTCTTTGATTATTATTTAAACATTCAGCAACAGCCATTTGCGACGCCGCTGCCAGTGGCGACACCTATGATGACGCCATCGTATCACAATCGGGTAGGACGAACCCCTAACGCCATGGTGACTCCACAGTACCAGCCGTCGTCGCAGGGTAATTGGGCGCACCCGGCGACGCCCAGGCACCACCCCAGCGCCACGCCCCGCACACCCTCGTACTCCTCGTCGCAGCAGCAGCAGCAGCACCAGCAGCAACATCACCATAACCAGCATCATCAGCATCATCAGCAGCGGGCTGCAGCACACTCCTCCAGCAGGTAACCTTACAACTAATCTCATCTCTGATCTTTTAACTAGTACGGCATGCTGACCATGATGGATCCAGGGGGGCAGCACAACTGATGCTTGCTGGATAGATTTTACCGCATTGCACAAACTCATTAAAACGTAAATTTTCGTAGTAAATACACTACGTAAGGTAGACAAAACAGTAACACCAGTGACTGGCAAGAGAATTTGTGCAACGCGCTACTGCTGCCTGGCAACAATCGGAACGGTTTAGTCGTTATTGATGTAATATTGCTACACTCGCCACTGAACCAGCGCTCACTCTACTCTCACCTCGATGTGCTAGTGACAATGTAGCGTGGTATATCGTATCGTAGACAGTAGACTTGGCTGATACTTGTGCTCCCACTACTTACGACGGTTAACACACTAAACATCTTTCGGTTATTTCGGTATTCGGTTATTCCGGTAATTAGACAAGTAAACAACACTGATGTTTTTTTTCACGTTGAACTTCATCTTTCATGTTCTTTCATGTTTTTGTTTCATTCTTTCACGCAGGCCTGGTGCAGCTGGTGCAGCCGTCGACTGGGGTAAGGCTGCCGCTCAGTGGGCTCAGAAGTCGCGCGACGCCACGCGCAGCACGCCACGACAGTCCCAGCGCCCGTCACCCCGCCCGGTCACCAAGCCGTCGCCGCGCGCGAGTCCGCGGCCGAGCCCCGCGGTGCAGCGCGATTCCAGCTATCGGTCGGAGTCGCCCCCCGCTGGCGACGCCACGCCGCTATACGACGAAAACTAGACTGCGCGCGTGCGAGACGGGCGGGTGTCGAGGTCAGAGTTCGCGAAAAGTTCCCTACGATCGTCGGAGGAGGAGCCTTCCCTACGATCATCGGAGGAGGAGCCTTTACGAAACCATTGTCGATGAATGAAGACTGTGAAATTTGGTAACCGCTCCGAGACTTATGCGTTATAGTGACTGCGCCTCATGATCACGTAAGTGTGGAATAGTGGTCACTGCTCTGCCTTTTTCTAGGTTTCTGTATTTAAAATGTATTTGTTTTGGAGACAAAAGTAATTAATTGCAGCGTTAATCGTCGCGATGGTTTTTACCTTTTTTTTAAATATCGTTTACACCCGAAAGAAAACATTTCCAAATTTAGTGCGTGGACTGTAGTTAATGCCTGTTCGATGAGGATTGCATAGCTGGTCAGTGCTGCGAATTAAAACTGGATATTGTCACAGTGTGAGTGTGTGTGTTGACTTGTGGTGGGTGATAGTGTGAGTATATCTGACCTATGGCTCATAGGCTGTGTCCTGTATGAACATGGGTGCATGTGTGGTGTTGACGCAGGGTTGTGACATGTATGTATTTGCAGGGGGAACGGTGATCTCTAGTATCTATCCGTATAGTATCAGGAGTAAGATAATATAGGATATATCCTATATTATCCTCCTCTATTATCTCCTATATTATCTTACTCCTGATAGTATCTCTAGTAGTCAAACAGTAATTGGCGTGGCGCAGGTCGTGTGCGTTTGGATGTACAGTTGGTAATTTTGGCACATTTTCAGCTCCATTTATGGAACAAATGCAAACAGCTCATACGCATGCTTCCAGGCTTCCTTCTGCCTATCTTTGTTTCAACTGTAAACTGGTTGTTTAACTGTGTAATCACTCAAAAGCTGCTATAACTTGGTACTAGATTTGTGTGCTATGAGATACATACGTCAATGTACGTTAATATCTGATTACAAAGTGACGGAGAGCGAACTGGATTAGCATCTAGATTATTATTTAGTAAGACGTGTCTAGCCAAATTAGAAAATCACTCGTTTATACATAATGTGTTTGAGGGCAGGTGATCATAGGACGTGTTGTCTACTTGGTGCACAAAATGTTGGCAACGATCATGAGGCAAATGTCTGCAAATTTTGCAAACTCAACTTTGATTATGTCAAATAAATACATTTGTGGTGTCATCTTAACGTTGTAATATGTACAACAGAGGTAAAGTGCTTGTCTGTGAATTTAAGTGAGCAATGTCAGTTTGTGACCAGCTTGTAAATAAAAGCCCATCAAGTGTTTGGAATGTACTGCTTTGTAGTAACATTATATTTTTATAGTACGAGTAAGATAATAGATGGATTATTGTATTCTGTCTGTTATGTTAATAGCTGCGTTCACACGAGGATTTCAGTACCGTACTTGAGCGTTCACACGGTAAAAATATACGCGGCTTATTCGGCGCGGAATCACATTCCGCGCTGTAACATTCGGCACCACGCTGGCCGCGTATTGTCTGTCGTGTGAACGCAATTTTGAATTGCGAAACTGTAGTGCGCTTATTTAGACTGGTACCCGTTCGCTACACGACGTTAGTATAGCGTGTGGAACTGTCGACCGGGTACCAGTCAATATTATACCTAGCCAGCTAAGCCTCGAATCTCGTGTGAACGCTCCGGGTTGTGTTAGCACGGTATTTCAGCCGAATTCAGCACCAGATAAGTACGGAACCAGCGAGGCCGTGTATCTCGTGTGAACGCAGCTTATGTCTATTATGCTACACATGTAAATGTTGTTACACTGTGTTGCACACTAGAAATACACTACAGTTTGTATAATAACAAATAGATGCTACATAGTAGGTATGGACACTGTACATTTTGCCACAGCATTTCTTATATAGTGAGTGAGAATGCAAAATGATACTACCAGATTTCAAGACTACACCATAGTCTTCATGTTACGAATAAAATATTTAACCAATTACGTCTATGGCTTGATATTATTGTCAAGACTTCCCTGTATCAGCAGGAGTGTATCTAGATCTATTATTATATATTATTATTATCTATACATTCCTGATATCATTGTGAGGTTAAAAGTGTTGAAGTGTGTTTAACCTGCGCTAAAAAGATGGCGACAGTGTCACAGATACTGCGCACTAGAAATTTGTCCCCTCACGTGGTTTGCAGAGGGGTGAAGGAGGAGGTAATTTCAGGTCCTTGAGTCCCATCTGGCCGCACTTTGCACCTGCCACCCGACAGCCTGCTTGAATGGCCGCTTCCACAGAGGCGCCTTTGTACAGCTGCGCGATGCAGGCTGCTATGAAAGTGTCGCCCGCCCCAATCGTGTCCACGACCTTTTCCGGCGGCTCGGCTGCGGCCGTGAACACCGTGCCATCAGACGTGCTCGCACAAGCACCCTCTTCTCCCCACGGACAAATGACGGTGGCGCCACCGCGGACTTTCTCCCGCAGGCCCTCGACCGCCGCCCGCATCGACTCGTACCCGCTGAAGACGGCAAACTCCTTGCTGACGAAGACGAAATCTCCGAGCGGGAGAAGCTGCTCCATCTCGCGCCGCGGCTTCTCGAGCTCGACAGACACGACGACGGAGTCTGCGGCGTCGTCGCGGCGAATCCTCGCCACCATCTCGCGCATCTCCGCCACGTTTCGCGATCGGCCCTCGAAGTGCACCCAGGCGCACCCCCGCAAGTCGACGTCGGCGAACTGCGCCGCCGTCACTTCCGAGGCGCGCGTGCTCTCGTGCAGTATCGTGCGCGAGCCGTTGAGGGCGTTGATGATGATGAAGGCGGTGGGCGTCGCCCCTGCGGGGTCCTCGACGCAGCGGTCGTGAGGGATGCCACACGTGGAGAGGTCGTCGCGTAGGAACTTGGCGGCGTCGTCGGCCGCGAGGGTGCCCACGAGTTCACACGGCACGCCGAGCTGCCGCAGCACCGTGCAGTTGTTCGACGCGTTTCCGCCGCGCGCCCAGTGCTGCTCCCTGCAGGGCGTGTCGGTATCTTCGAGTGGAAAGCCGTCGCATACAGTGATCATGTCGAAGCAGATGAGCCCCACACACACGACCCGCTGCTCTGATGAGGCCATCCCACCTAGACAAAACAGGAAAGCTCACAGGTGACAATCCCCGGGTTCCTTTATTTTCTTATTCATTTAAGATATATTACTGTGTAACTTCGGTAACTAATTTGTAACGAGTCGCAGTAAAAGGCATGTAAATTATTAGAGTGAAATTTAGCATCGTGGAAGACACTAAAAATGAGGATCATGTCCATACTACTTCAAAGATATCTCTCTCTCTACAGCCACCTTTCACCATAGTTTCGAATAATGGCAGCTAGCGAGCACTGGCATCACTATGGCGGAAAAGTCGGCCGATTTCCATTGTTTGTACAAATTCTGTCATCATTAATGAAAACATTTTTCAAGCCTAATAGTACATGCTGGGTAGGGACTTGGTAGTTTAAGGGGAGGCACCAATACACAGACAGTGTGCTTATAGTATATTAATTATTATATCAAGAGCTTATAAATACCCGTGTTTATACGGTATAGTACCCGTATTTATAAGCTCTTGATATATATACATAATGGTATTTATAATATATATATAATGGTATTTATAATAATATATATATAATGGTATTTATAATAATATATATATAATGGTATTTATAATATTATATATATAATGGTATTTATAATATTATATATATAATGGTATTTATAATAGTATATGAATGGCAATGGTAATATAATGGTATTTATAAGCACACCCCGCTGGTGTTCATGAACTGTCCCTCCCTCTCCCCACAGGTGTTCATGAACTCTCCCTCCCTCCCCCGCTGGTGTTCATGAACTGTCCCTTTCTCTCCCCGCAGGTGTTCATGAACTGTCCCTCCCTCTCCCCACAGGTGTTCATGAACTCTCCCTCCCTCGCCCCGCAGGTGTTCACGAACTCCTCTCCTGCAGCACATTCACGCACGGTCTCCTCCCTCTCTCGCCCCGCAGGTGTTATCGAACTCCTTTCTTGTAGAACTTCTTTACGTTCACGCGCTCCCCTCTCGCTCTACCGCATGCAGATGTTCATGAACTGTCCCTTTCTCCCTCCTCTTTCTGCAGCATGTTCACGCACGCTCCCCTCTCTCACGCGCCCTGTCTCTCTCGCGCGCAGGTGTTCATGAACTGCGCCGGCTTCATCAAGATCGACACGAACTCGCTCGGCGACAGCACGGAGGCGTACGTCGAGGTGCTGGACGGCTCGCGCGTCCACCCGGAGACGTACGAGTGGGCGCGCAAGATGGCGGTCGACGCGCTCGAATACGACGACACCGTCGAGGACGCGAACCCGGCCGCCGCGCTCGAGGAGATCCTCGAGAGCCCCGAGCGGCTGAAGGACCTCGACCTGGACGCGTTCGCGGAGGAGCTGGAGAGACAGGTGGGGGAGCACGGGGGAGGGGGAGGTGGCTGGTCGGGGC